GCCACTCCAGGACAAGCCAGAACCGGTACAGGCGGAGGCAATTGATGGATAGCTCCTGCGCTCGGGTGCCGTTACTCAGGAGACTCAGCTCTTGGTCCTGTGTCACCAGCAGCACCGGGAGCTTACCAGCGGGAAGGTAAACGGCGTTCCGTGTGCTGCGCTGGCTCGCCAGATGCAGCTTGTCACGCTGGCCACGTGACCCGGAAGTGTCTGTGGACAGCGCTGGCTCCCGGCCTATAGAGTGAGATGAGCGCACAACCCTAGAGTCTGGCAAGACTGGCCCGTACGGGCAGAGGTACCTTTACCTTTTATCCATTTACAACATACCAGGTTATTATTTGTGGGGCAACTATTTTTTAGAAAAAAATTATATCCCCAAAGGGGGGAATTGTTATAAGGATTTTTAGGTGATTTTTTATATATATATACACTACATGTCCAAAACCCACAGGAAAAGTCCTAAAGCCATTCTGACTCTTTCACTCTTTCAGTCACCTCAAATATTTCTCTACAAGGTCGAAGGAAATGCAGAAACCTCCCTATTGTTTCTGTCCTCACAAATCCTGCCTTAAGGGCACATTTAAGGTGTGAATAGGGTGAGCCTGTGACCTGGCTCAGGAATGAAGTATTATCATTACAAAAGAATGGCCAGGCTCCCCAGGTAATCTAGTCAAGTGACCATTAACAGGTAACCTGGCAGACAAGGTAAAAACAATGCACTCAGATTTCTGTTGTAGACTGCCTTTTCTGTGATGTATGTATGATGTTTCTGGGGGTGGTCTTGGACTCCAGGGTGGGCAATTAAAAATGTCTATATAAGGGCTTGCATGCATGGCTCGGGGTCCTCCTCCTCTCTCCTGCGTGTGGGGGAGAACCCTGTTGCAACAGTTAATAAAGAACAGGCTTTCTAGCTGCTTTGCTTCTCAATATTCTCTGGTTGGTCTCTGTTATTTTCTCCTACCGATAGAGAACCTACAGAAGGACTGTATATGGGCCCTTGGGTACCCCATAAGGAAAAAGGAGCAGGTTTGTTTTTTTTTAATAATATTTATTAAGAGTTTAAAAGTTACCAAAAAAAAGAAGAAAAAGAGTTAAACAAAGCAAAGAAGCAAAAAGAAACAACAAACAAAAAACAACACAATACAATGCAAGACAAATAAAACAAAACAAAGACCATTTTAAACAATTTCAATGTCATATCTTTCATTCGCTTATTTCCACGACTTCCTCACACCTCCTTTTTGTATTCCACATCAATTAATTATTTCAGCAATTCCTTTCCATCTTCCTCTGTTTTCTATCCTATAATTATCTTAACACATTCTAACCTTATTTTATTCCCTTTAATGCTCAATTAATCTATTTATACTTAATTCCTTATAACATTTCTGCTAAAGCCATATAACTTCATTCCCACTTTGTTCTAACATTCATTAATTTTGCAATATTTCTATAGTCTTTAAACTTCCAGTCTTCTTCCACCAGTTCTTCTCCCTGGTCTCAGATTCTGCCGAGTCTCTCAGCCAGCAAAAAGCAGATGATTCACAACAAAATTTAGGGGTCTGGCAGGGCAAGTCCACCTCCTTCTTTAGCATCCGTTAATATCTTAAATTTTACTCGAGGCTTCCTGCCCTGCCATACAGATCTAGAGACATCCCTCTGCCACCTCCTGAAACAATCCCTCCCATCCAAAACTTGCAATGTTTGAAACAAAAGCAACATCCCCGACCTCACCGCAACCCTCGTCCCCACCACAGCAACTCGGCCCAACAATAGCAACTTCCAATTTAGCCCTATTTCCAAATCCCCCTTCTCTTCAAGCCAACGTCCTTCACAGTTGCCCTTGAATAAATTCACATTTCTGGCGGTCATACTAACCCCCCAATACCTCTCTTTCTCAACCAATGTTACTCCTATCTCCTCCTGAATCTCTATCAAGGTTTCCTTTTCCTCGGGTAGGGCTCTGATCCTCAATTTCATCTGTTTCTCTTTAAGTTCAGTCATATCAAGTGTCAGCTCGTATTCATCAAATCGTCCTTGTATGGATGGGACTCTCTCTCTCTCCAGTTGAATTACTTTAACTTCAGCAGCGAGGGTTTTCTCCTTAACTTCATCCGCAGTTTGCCGTATCAGGATAGATTCCTGTATCAATTTCTGGGTGGTTTCTGTATTGATATTCACCTTTTGTCCCAGGTTATTTAGACTTTCTACCATTAAATCATTTTTAATATTTGCAGCATCCACTTTCATATTTATCACATCCATTTTCTTGTGAAGCTGTTCCAGCGAATCATTTATTTTCACTAGTACAATCACTAAGGCCTCATTTATTTTCACTAGTACAATCACTAAGGTTTTTATCTTACAACTGGAAATTTCCCAGCCCAGATCTTATGTAGCCGCCAGTTTCAAGAACTTCCACTAGAGGGAAACAGTTTCTATTTGTATTGATAAGTAATATCCTCTTAAAGCACAGTTCAAACGACCCAAAACTAATTTCAATTTTCAGTTACTTTCACTGCTGGAGACAGTAGAAACAATGTATCTTCTCTTATGCTAGCTGTCAACACGATCCAAGCACTGTCAATAAACGTCTCACCAAAACGTCGGACCTTCTAGCAGCCCGTTCCCAGGGTCCGAGCGGCGGTGTTTTACCTCTCTTGGTCTCTTCCACAGGCAAACTCAGTTGACAACTTCCCTCCACCCTCTTCTCCTGCCTCCAAGTGGGGGGTTATATTCTTTACTTACGGAAATTTAGTCTTTTACAAAAGGCTTTCCAAGACTTCAGCTTGCAGCCTCAATTGCTTCAGTCTATTTACAAAAGGGGAAGGCGGACTTCCTGTATTGAACCTTCCCCGTTTCAATGCCAAATTAGACTTTTTAAAAAAAAAAATCCAATTTTCCCAATTAAGCTCTACTCACGGGTAGTTACTTTAGAGTCAAATTGTCCACAGGAAAAAGTCAGCGCTCTCCGACAACAGCTATGCGGCTTCGCTCCGTGGAAGAAGCAGATGATTCGAAGCACCGCGCCACTCACCCCACGTCGCTCCGGATCCCCGAAACCAGGTTTCCCCACGAGTGGGGGAGGCGCAAAGGGCGCCCGCCGAATCCCACACTCACAGGCTTCTCCCGCCTGTGATTTTTAACGGGTCTCCGCCTTCGCTGTGGCGGCCAGACCCAGATTTCCATGGAGCTGATTCCTCCGGATCAGAGGAATCCAGCCATTGCCGGAGGCGCCTCCCCCGAAGTCCAGGTTTTTCCCCTTATATCACCTGCAATCATGTGTGGTGAGTTAGCAATTCACTCCTCCCGTTGCTGGATATGTGGCTAGTATGTCACATGCCCCTGTTTAGTTTCCTAGGCTTGGAAAGTGTAAGAACAGAAGTCAGTCTTATCTCTTCCGCTCTGCTGTGCTTTTGCACTGTTCTTTGTCTCCCTGTCTGTTGCTGAAGAAGAGAGAGGACGCCATTATGATCAGTTTGGTGTCGTCTGCAGATGTGATGAGCATGCCCTCAGTTCCTTCATCCAAGTCACTTATCAAGACGTTGAACAACAACGGGCCCAGGACAGAACCCTGCAGCACCCCTCTTGTCACTTTTCCCCAGGATGAGGAGGAACCATGAAGGAGTCTTCTTTGGGTTCGGTCAGTCAAATCCACCTACCAGTTACCTCATTCAGCCTCATTTTACTAGCTTCCTCACATAAATGTCACAGGGGAATTTGTCAAAAGCCTTACTGAAATCAAGATGCACTACTTCCAAAGCAGTTCCCTGATCAACAAAGTTTGTAACTCCATCCAAAAAAATAAAAAAATAAAAATGGAGAGATTTCTCTCGCTTGATTTGTTTGTGAGAAAGCCATGCTTTCATCCTGTATGTTTATAATGTAAAATCTTCAGATGAAGGGCAAATAAATGAGGATATTGACAAGCTGGAACATGTGCAAAGGGAGGCGATTTATGTCTTTATTTAATTTGTAAACCACCCGACCCGGTGCTGCCGACTTGAATAAAATATTGGTGGAGGGGGCAGGTAAGGCCCGCCTTGCACTATCAATCACATGATGCATGCACACCATTTGAATGGAAATGCCTATAATGGCAGCGACTTTTTGAAAAAGTAATATTTTGAGCCAGTAGGTCAATTTCCCAGCAGCTCCCCTTGCCCCGGAGAACACTTCTAGCATTCCATCTCCTCTACCTGTGGCATTGTTCAGCAGTGGGGAAAGTGACCTCTTCACACCGGATGTCCATTTGGTATGGCCCTTTCCAAGTTTGTCTTTCATTTTTTCTATGTGTGTTGCCAGTAGAAGCCAAAATTCTGTGGGTACTCTAGGTGGTGCAGAAAGCTGTTTTTGGACTACAACTCCCGTCATCCCTAGCTAGCAGGACCAATGGGGAGGGATGATGGAAATTATAGTCCCGGGAGATGCTGGGGACCCAAGTTTGGGAAAGCCTCCTTTAAAGCAACTGTTGCGTTTGGCCCACAAATATGGGACCTGTCCACATTTGTATTTTCTTGTATTTTGTTTTTCTCATGACCTTTGTGCGGTTTTTTTAAATTTCTTAAAAGGTCAAATTGATAGTGAAATTGTATGGCAAGTTGTGGAAGAATAAAAGGTTGCATTTGAAAAAAACACAAAGAAAACCTGGGGGGTGGCCTCCTCAAATATTTTATGGGGGGGCAAAGACCCCTAGGAATTAAAGAGTGGCTGTATTCCCTACCCTCACACGTCTCAGAATGCTTAGAACATAAAAACACAACATAAAAACAAAAAATATCACGTTAAAATAGCATTAGATGTCAATAAAAAAAGGCCTGGTTAAAAAGGTGCAGATTTGCCTGGCTCCTAAAGCTGTTTAATGGGTTTTGTATGGATTCTTTGTATGGATTCTTTGATGGGAAGTGAGTTTAGAGCTAACAGTGAAGCTCTTTCCACATTCCACACACTGATAGGGTTTCTCCCCTGTATGAAGTCTCTGATGCCTAGTGAAATTGGAGCTATGAGTGAAGCTCTTTCCACATTCTACGCACTGATAGGGTTTCTCCCCTGTATGAATTATTTTGATGGAAAGTGAGACTGTGGCTGTGAGTGAAGCTCTTTCGACATTCCACACACTGATAGGGTTTTCCGCCTGTATGAATTTTGTGATGGGAAGTGAGAGAGGAGCTATGAGTGAAGCTCTTTCCACATTCCACACACTGATAGGGTTTCTCCCCTGTATGAAGTCTCTGATGCCTAGTGAAATTGGAGCTATGAGTGAAGCTCTTTCCACATTCTACGCACTGATAGGGTTTCTCCCCTGTATGAATTCTTTGATGGAAAGTGAGACTGTGGCTGTGAGTGAAGCTCTTTCGACATTCCACACACTGATAGGGTTTTCCGCCTGTATGAATTTTGTGATGGGAAGTGAGAGAGGAGCTATGAGTGAAGCTCTTTCCACATTCCACACACTGATAGGGTTTTTCCCCTGTATGAATTCTTTGATGGGAAGTGAGATCGGACCTCTTCCTGAAACTCTTTCCACATTCCACACACTGATAGGGTTTCTCCCCTGTATGAATTCTTTGATGGAAAGTGAGACTGTAGCTGTGAGTGAAGCTCTTTCCACATTCCACACACTGATAGGGTTTCTCCCCTGTATGAATTCGCTTATGGGAAGTGAGACTGAAGCTGTGACTGAAGCTCTTTCCACATTCTACACACTGATAGGGTTTCTCCCCTGTATGAATTCTTTGATGAAATGTGAGAATGTCCTTCCTCCTGAAGCTCTTTCCACATTCCACACACTGATAGGGTTTCTCCCCTGTATGAATTCTCTGATGAGATCGGAGCTCTGACTGAAGCTCTTTCCGCATTCCATGCACTGATAGAGTTTCTTTCCAATGAGATTTTGTTGATGGAAAGTGGAATTGGAGCTCTGATTGCAGCTTTCTCCACACTCCAAATTTTTGTGTGGCTTCTCCTCTCTGGGGATTTTTTCGTTGTCACCTTTGCTCTCAATTTCCAATTCATCACAATCTGCAGTGGAGACAAAAAGGGATTAGAGCCTCAGGAACAAATGGAGAAGAACTGAAGGGAGTTGGGTGTGTGTTCATTACCTGTATTTTTTGTCATTAACCAACATATTTATTATGAGATTCTGATGAGTTGTTGAATGTTGCTTTGTTTATATAAAGTAGTGGTCAAAATTGTGAAAGACTTTTGGAAAAAAGTGTATTTCAGAGGATTGCTGGCTCATAACACCACTTCATTTGGAGTTATGTCATAAAATTATATATCAATGGAAAGATAATTCGATCAAAAATGCAATCAAGATTGCAATCCAACAAAGTTTGTTCAATTACCCGTATTCTATCAAAATTATAGCCAAATAACCAGAAAAAGAAAGCACAGCTTGCTTAGGTTGACTTTTGTCAGTGTGTTATGTGATTGCTATCAAGTTGGTTGGTTTTTTGTGTTCTTTCATTTAGTGAGGGTGTAAAACATAATAAAATTATAGAAATGGCACAAAGAGTTGGCTGGTCCCCGGAAAGCGATGTAAGATTGTACTATTAAGTGCACAAGGCTACAGTTATGGAGAAATTAGAAGAGAGATTGGGGAAAACTTAACCAAAGTTGGCCTTTCTATATTTTTGAAGAGGTATAAGGAGACTCAGTCACTACAAAATCAGACTTGTTAAGGCAGGGAATGTGTGCAAAGGCAAGTGACGATGGACGAGTGGAGAGACTGTGCCTACATGACAGAAGAAAATCATCTGGATGTATACAAGATGACATGGCACAATGTAATGGGAAGTTGAGTGCAAGGACTGGTCTAAATGTTAGAATTCTAAGGAAAAAGCCATTGTTATCTCTCAAGCAAAGGTTGAAAAGATTAAACCCATGTTAACTGGACAGCGCAACAATGGGACACTACCTTACTTGACAGGTTGTCTCAAGATATGGCAAAGAGAAATTTCCAAATTCCTGTGGGAAGGGAAGAAACCTAGGAATAAACACCTGATCTTAATAGACATAAAAGAGAGAGGAGGCTTTTCCCTACCCGACCTAAAACTTTACTACGAGGCAGCCTGTTTCACCTGGCTAAAAGATTGGTGCACGTTGCAGGATCCGGACCTCCTGAACCTGGAAGGTTTTGACAATCATTGGGGATGGCACGCCAACCTGATATATGGAAAAGCGAAAATTCATAAAAAATTTACCAACCATATAATAAGAAAGTCACTCTTTGCTGTATGGGAAAAATATAAAGACCTGATGGAGCCTAAAGTCCCGTGGTGGACTTCTCCAATAGAAGCCATAGCAGTAAAACGGAAAAATACTCAGGAAAGCTGGCCAACATGTAAAATACTTCTAAAAAATGAAGATAACCAAATAAAATTTAAAAACTTTGAGGAAATAAGAGAACACATGTCAGACGAGTTCCAATACCATCAGTTATTTGAAAAATTTAAATCTGACAAACAAAAGGGGTTCTCAACAGAAATTTCCCGATTCGAATCTGATCTTGTAAATTCTAAAAGAAAAACTCTTTCCAAAACTTATCGACTCCTCCTTGACTGGACAGTCAAGGAGGAGGAGGTAACAGTGGCAATGGTGAGGTGGTCCCAGGATTTTGGCCATTCAATAACCATGGCCCAATGGGAAAATTTATGGAAGATCAATTGGAAATTCACAAATTGTTACACGATTAGAGAGAACTTTCAAAAATGCAACATCGATGGTATCTAACACCATGGAAACTTTCAAAAATGTATAAAAATGTGTCAAGTAATTGTTGGAGATGCGGAGACTCAGGAACATTCTACCATATGTGGTGGATATGTAGGAAAATACAGGTATTCTGGGAGAGTATACATGCAGAACTGCAAAAAATGCTAAAGATCTCTTTCAATAAAAAACCAGAGGCCTACCTCCTGGGAATAACAGATCTGGATATTCCACAAAAGAGGAAGGGTATCTTTTTATATGCGACAACGGCAGCAAGAGTTTTGATTGCAGCAAAATGGAAGGGTAATGAAATCTCCTCTATAAAAGATTGGATCCAAAAGCTGACAGAATATGCCAAATTAGATGGTTTATCAGAAAAAATAAAGAATAAATCAAAACAGGAATTAGTTTCAAAATGGGAGGTTTTCAAAGAATATCTGAAAAATAAATATAGTAGTCTCAATTCTGTTGCAGCATTCGAGGAACTTCAGTAATAGTTGCTAGGTAGATAGAAGAAATTAGATTTATTGAGAATAAGTTTAATTATGATAAAAGTGTGTATTGGCAATAAGCAATATGAATTTGAAATATGGAATAGACGGGAGGTTGGGTCTTTAGTGTTAAGACCAATAGATGTTTTATTGTTTGCTAAGAAAATTATGTGTCTATGGTTATTTTTGTAATTTGTGTGTAATTTGGTATTTGTGGCTTATTTTTCTTTTTTCTTGTTGTATAAATAAAAAACTTTATTAAAAAAAAAGGACACTACCTTTCTTGGTAGTGATGGCATGAAATACGTGAGTTTCTTTAATCAGATAAGAGGAGAAGAATCAGAGAAGATTTACATCCTACTTGCATTACACTGACCGTGAAACACCCAGACAGTGTGATGATCTGGGGTTGTATGGCAGCAAAAGGTGTGGGCAGAATTTGCGTCATTAATGGGAATATAAATGCGGAAAAATGCATAAACGAAATACGTGAGCCCAAACTGAAGTGTTTCGCAGGTGATCTTTTCCCAGATACCGAAGCATTTATATATTTCAACAGGATTCAGCTCTATGTCGTGTTGCTGCTGTGTGCAAAAGGTGCATTCAAGATAATGATATTTCACTGCTGGAATGGCCTGGGAATAGCCCACACTTTAACCCAATCAGAAAACTTTGGAGCCGACTAAAGAAACTTGTTATTCAGAAGCAACCCAGCAATAAAGCCCAATTAACAGAGGCAATAATTCAGTCTTGGTTTCCCATTATTACAGCTGCAGAACTAAAAACTTGGTTCACTTCATGGGAAGGCCGTAATTAAAGCTAAACGTTACCAATGGTTACCAAAGGTTTCACGTTTTTTCTTTATGACTGCTGTTCTAATAAATACTCCTTCATAAAAGTCATTGCATTACATCCTTCATTAAATTATCTTTCCATTGCTATATAATGTTATGCTATTACTCCACACAAAAGTGGTGTTATGAGCCATCAAACCTCAGAAATACACTTTTCACAAAAGGTTTCCACAATTTTGGCCACTAGTAGAAGTTGTTCATTTTAAAGTTAATGTTCCTTTTATATGGAATCAGATTATTATTATTATTATTATTATTATGGGCAGGGTAGAAATAAAAATTATTATTATTACTACAGTGGTACCTGTTCTGGAAAAGCTTAATTTTGTAAACCGAGGTACCACTGTATCATCATCATCATCACTGCTACTACTACCTGAGATTCCATAAGCCTAGCTCTTCTCTGGGATGGATTTTATTTGGCCCAGTCATGGCATCCCCTCCATCTCCAATGTCAGCCTTGTTATGGCTTTGTCTCTCCCACAAACGTGAGATGACTCTGTTAATAATTTCAGATTTATTGCTAAAACAACAAACTTGGACGGAGCTCCTCTACTCACCGTCCTCCCCACAAGATGGAGTTGCCCAGACTGAGCTCCTCCCCCTTCCCCAGCACGGAAGCCCCCACCTTCTCTTCCAGTATCTTTAAATTTGGCAGAGAATGCTTCCTGCATTCCAGTGTCTGACTCACTCCTGTAGCTCTCACACAGCTGTCTGTCACTCTGTCTCTCTTTTTCTTCTCCCCTTTGTTCAGAGCTCAGATGACAGTTCCTCTCCCCCTCCTCTCTGCCTTCCGCTGCTAACTCTCCTCTCCCTAGGCCTACTTCTTCTCTGGCTGGCAGCACCTGAGCTTCGCTGCCAGTCATCTCTTTGGTCAACCCAAGACTGACAGGAGCAAAAACAAAAACAAAAACCTGAAGCTACTTACCTTTCCTAACAATTCTGAAGCTGACATTTAAGGTGGCCTGGGAAGTTCACACCAGCCCAATTGTGGTAGAAAAAGGAATAATTTGAGAAAGATTGTTCAAAGAAAAAACTGTAATTAACTCTTTATTGTGGGGGTGTTAGGTCCCCAGGTGTTATAGGGCGCACTGTTGAGCTCTGTGAAAATATAAGAGGTTGGTCACATTGAGGTATTTTTTGAATTTCCAGGCAGATAGGACGATCCCACAGGGAGCCTTACCAAGAGAGGCCACGATCCCACGATTCTCCTTCATGACGTCCTTATGCAGAGCTCTCTGGTCAGGATCCAGCAACACCCACTCCTCGTCCGTGAAACGAACAGCAGCATCTTCAAAGCACACTGGACTCTAAAAGAAAAAGGGAAACGTCCTCCTCTGATACAGCAGAAATATGATCTGCTACACAATGTTTTGTTGTATCCTTTCTGTTAATAATAATAATAATAATAATAATAATAATAATAATAATAATAATTTATTTATACCCTGCCCATCTGGCTGGGTTTGCCCAGCCACTCTGGGCAGCTTCCAACAAAACGCTAAACTACAATAATCTATTAAACATTAAAATCTTCCCTAAACTGGGCTGGCTTTAGATGTCTTCTAAAAGTTTGGTAGTTATTTTTCTCTTTGGCATCTGGTGGGAGGGCATTCCACAGGTTGGGTGCCACTACCAAGAAGGCCCTCTTCCTGGTTCCCTGTAACTTGGCTTCTCGCAGCGAGGGAACTGCCAGAAGGTCCTCGGCGCTGGACCTCAGTGTCTGGGCAGAACGATGGAGGTGAAGACGCTCCTTCAGGAATATTGGACCAAGGCCGTTTAGGGCTTTAAAGGTCAGCACCAACACTTTGAATTGTGCTTGGAAACGTACTGGGAGCCAGTGTAGGTCGTTGAAGACCGGTGTTATATCATCTCGACGGTCGCTCTCAGTCACCAGTCTAGCTGCCGCATTTTGGATTAGTTGTAGTTTCCGGGTCACCTTCAAAAGTAGCCCCACATAGAGCGCATTGCAGTACTCCAAGCGAGAGATAACCAGATCATGCACCACTCTGGTGAGACAGGCTGCGGGCAGGTAGGGTCTCAGCCTGCGTAACAGATGGAGCTGATAAACAGCTGCCCTGGACACACAATTGACCTGTGCCTCCGTGGACAGCTGCGAGTCCAGAATGACTCCCAGGCTGCGCACCTGGTCCTTCAGGGGCACAGTTACCCCATTCAAGACCAGGGAGTCCTCCACACCCACCCGCTTCCTGTCCTCCAAAAACAGTACTTCTGTCTTGTCTGGATTCAACCTCAATCTGTTAGCCGCCATCCATCCTCCAACAGCCTCCAGACACTCACACAGGACTTTCACCTCCTTCACTGGTTCCGATTTGAAAGAGAGGTACAGCTGGGTATCATCCGCATACTGACGAACACCCAGCCCAAACCCCCTGATGATCTCTCCCGGTGGCTGCATGTAGATGTTGAAAAGCATAGGGGAGAGGACAGAACCCTGAGGCACCCCACAAGTGAGATCCCAGGGGTCTGAACACTCACCCCCCCACTTTCTGAACATGGCCCAGGAGGAAGGAGCGGAACCACTGTATGACATTCCCCCCAGCTCCCACCCCCTCAAGACGGTCCAGAAGGATGTTATGGTTGTTCAGAAACCACTCACTCAATCACCTTGCCCAAGCATGGAAGATTTGAGACTGGGCGATAGTTAGCCATATCGGCAGCATCTAAAGATGGTTTTTTAATAAGCGGTTTGATAACCCCCTCTTTCAGCGGGTCTGGGAAGGCTCCCTCACAGAGAGAAGCATTCACAACTTCGCGAAGCCCATCGCTCAGTCCTTCCCGGCTAGCTTTTCTAAGCCAGGATGGGCAAGGATCAAGGAGACAGGTGGGTGGTTTCACTCGTCCAAGCAGCCTGTCCACATCCTCGGAGGTAACAGATTGGAATTGATCCCACGCAACTTGACTAGACAGGACACTAGCACTCTCCCGCCCCGGCCTTGCTCCATGGTGGAGTCTACCTCTTCCTGAATCTGAGCGACTTTATCTGCAAAAAAACTTTGCAAAATCATTGCAGAAGATCATGTGGCCCATACTGGGCCCTGATGTAGCAGGTGGTTCCGCTAAATTGCAAACCACCTGAAAAAGTCTCCTGCTGTTTTCTGCAGATGCAATAGAGGCGGCAAAGAAATCCTTCTTCGCCGTTGCTACCGCCACTTGGTAGGCTCGACATTGAGCTCTAACCCGTGTCCGGTCAGCTTCAGAATGAGTTATCCGCCACCGGCGCTCTAGCCATCTCGGCGATTGTTTTATTGCCCTCAGATCCGTGGAAAACCACAGGGCTGTCCAGGCTCCATGTAATTGAAGAGGGCGCTTCGGAGCCAAACAGTCAATAGCCCTGGTTAACTCTGCATTCCAGCAGGCCACCAGGGAATCAGCTGAAAGGCCATCAACATGGGCCAAAGCATCCCCTACCACTCTCTGGAAACCATTTGGATCCATTAAGTGGCGGGGGCGGACCATCCGAATTGGTCCCACCTCCCTGCAGAGGGAATGGGTCGCAGAGAAGTCCAGTTGCACCAGGAAGTGATCTGACCATGGCACTTCTTTCGTTTCGCTTTTACTTAGTGTCAGATCACAAACATCCATAGAGGTAAACACCAGGTCCAAGGCATGTCCGCGGCTATGGGTTGGGCTAGACTTATTCAGGGACAGCCCCATGGAGGCCACACTTTCCACGAAGTCCCGAGCGGCCCCTTGTAAGGTCGTGTCGGCATGGATGTTAAAATCCCCTAGGACAACCAAGCTAGGTGTCTCCAGGAGAACATCCGCCATGACCTGAAGCAGCTCGGGCAGGGAATCCTTGGTGCAGCAGGGAGGTCGGTACACCAAAAGGAATCCTGTACTGCCCCTATTGCCCAACTTCCAGAACATGCACTCGGAAAACTGGGTCTTCCCAATAGGACGCCTGGTGCAAACTAATGACTTCCTAAAAATCACTGCAACCCCCCCTCCCCGCCCACATGACCTGGGTTGCTGTGCGTAAGAGAAACCTGGTGGGCAAGCAGCGGCAAGGACAGGCCCATCAGCTTCATCCAACCAAGTCTCTGTTACACATGCCAGGTCAAGTCCTCCATCCATGATCAAGTCATGGATGGCAGTGGTTTTATGAATCATTGACCTGGCATTGCACAGCAGTACCTTCAGGTCATGTGGGTATCCCTTGCTGATTCTAGTATCCATCCGGTCAGGACCAGACCCGGAGGCAGGGATAGTCCTCAGACAACGACTAAACCTGCCTCCTCTGTAATGACATGGTCTGGTCTTAACATCCATCCCACCCCACCCCCCCAAAAAAGTAATCAAAAGGGAAAAAAGAAAATTTAAAAAAACATTTTAAAAAGAACATTGCGCCGCTCCAAGTCCTCCTGGCCAGCAGGAGCAGCAGCAGCAACCGTCCTTATGAGGCCTGTCAGGCCCCACCCTGGGCCTGGTGGTGAGTGGCAGGAGCGGGGCCCTCAGGCACTCATGCGGGGCAGTTGTTTCAATAGGATTGCTTTTCTGCGCATTTTATTTATGGATCCTTATTTTATTCTAAGTTTTAATTCTGGGAATTCGTCTTTGTGCAAATAGGTGGTACTCCACTTTGTGTTTTCCAAGTCATTCTGCCTACGCAAGCATTCCAGTTTGCCTGATGGAAGGATCCACTTTCTCCTCTCCTCGTGAGCTGTTCTGGGGAGATCCCTCCCAATGCCCTACAGTTAAATCCAAGGGGGTCATGGGGGCATGGAGGGCGGAGGAATGGGGGGCAAGCCCCATTTTGCAGTAGATGGGGCTGGTTAGGTGAATCTAGGCCACTATTTGTTCTCATTTGTCCACCCCTTAGAAACCGATTTTAGCATTCAGTGATCAATCTAGAAATAAAATAAGCCTATTTTGAACGGCCATCTGTCTTGGATTATCTAGCAGAGATTCCTGCAATGCATGGGGTCTCCTGGCTCTGAGAGACAAGCAGGGAGGGTGGCTTCTGGCAAAAGGAGAGGGAGCCACCTGTGGCTCCTCCTTCTCCTAACTCACCTCTGCCTCTCGACCTTCCTCTCCCACTCGTCTCCTTCCTCTTCTGCCTCTGATTCTGCACTGCATTCTGCCACAGAGTCTCCCAGTTAACTAAGCCCAGTAACCCCTTCAGCTTCTGACACCTCTTCCCAGGTTTCTCCCTCTTCTTCCTCTGACTGTTCATCCTTGTTCCACCTCCACTCCTTGGGCTCTCAGCCATCTTCCCTTCCTGGTTCCCCAGCTGCTTCCTCCCACCATTCCTCTATGCCCAACCAGTCCATGATATTGCTCCATCCCTCGGCCTCTGTCCAACAAGGCAGCTTCCCCTGACCTGATCTGGTTCCACAGCCGCTGCTTCCCTTCTGCCCCCATGAAAAGACGGATCAGGAAGTCTTCCTGGGATCATTCTGTCACCTGCAAGAGAAAAAAGGTGATCAGGATGCCAGGAGTGCCGGCTTCTCTCACAGGTGAAACAGGGCATCTCTAACTACAGATGGGCCTTTGAGAAAGCCTTACCTGCTGAGAGCATTTGGACGTTTGTGCCCATTTCATATGTTAGTTGTGCAGAAATACATCTCCCCTCCTCTGGACCCTTCTTCCCAACTGTCTCCCCCCAAAGCAAGATGAAAAGAACCCTCAGATGAGTTGGAAAACAAACAGAATGAGACCAAATGGGGAAAAACCACCTTCCTCCCTACCCAGTGGCCTCTCTCTGGTGTCCAACGGAGGCCTCTCTGCCTCACAGGAATCCAGGTCCATTTCTGCAAAGAGATCCTTTCCCTGAAAAAGAAACACGGATTAAAAACAGAGAATGGTGAGAAATATTAGAAAGAGAATGACAAAGACTTGAAGGATGTGAGATCTCATTCCATGGATGCTTTCCCAGAAAAAGGATGGGACATCAGCAGAGCATCATGGGATGTTCTCTGTCCTGCTTGGAGCCCCTTGGGAGTATCCAGACGAAAGTCTCTCTCACCTGCTTTCTCTCCTCTGCCTGACTCAGGAGGAAACCTTCGGCCAGGGCCACCGCCTGGGAACTGCTTTCCGCTCCGCATTCCCTCACCCAGCTCTCCATCTCCGGGGGAAGGACAGCCAGGAACTGCTCCAAAATCACCAGGTCCAGCATCTCAGCTTTCGTGTGCCTTTCTGGCTTCAGCCACTGATGGTCAAGGTGGCAGAGTCGGCTGCAAACCTCTCGGGGTCCTTTGGCCTCCTGGCAGCAGAACTGCCTCAACTGCTGGCTCTGCACCTCTGAGCGGAGAGTGCCCTCCTCACCCAGGATCTTCTGCACTGGGTTTTCCCAAAATCCCCCACTGCTCCCAGTTTGGCTGGCATGGCCTCTTCCTGCTTCAGGGCCAGCTAAGTCTAGCTCATCCATCTGTGCTCTCAGGAAGCCTTTGAGAGATCGGAAGGAACCCTTTTGTCTTCTGACAAGTTCTGTCTGTCGTAATGAAAAGCTCAAGGAAATCCTACAAAGCAAATACAATGTTCTGTTACAGAATTTGTAGGACAGGGGGGGAAATGGTTCCCTGAGCAAGCATGGATGAGTCTTGCTGGGAACCAGGTCAGGATTGCACCGCATCCCAGACCATGAGCTATCTTTTTGAAAAGAAAGAGGAGAAGAACTAAGTCTCTAGCCTTGTAGCAATGCAAAATGTGGAGACAACTGAAGGGATTTCTGCGAGATTAATCAACCTGGTTTCTGCTGCCTTGCAGTCAATGCATGAAGTCAGAACTGATTGACAGGGGAGTCATTTGTATCTTGTAAAAAATGGATGCTTGGCTCTAGTGGGGGTCCTTATCCGGGGGTCCTCAGGAGTTCCTCACCCACACCCACTCCCCTGCTTCTGTCTCCTTTTCTTGCACTTGGACTCTCTGCCGCTCTCCAGACAGACTCCTGGGGTGGGGTCCCTTTTTCTTTGCTCTGAGGGCCAGGTATGTATCTGATCAACCCCCTGAGGGCCAAGTGGGCAGGGCCAAAGACATCTCCCTTGATATTTAGGCGGGTAATTTATTATTATTATTCTGTTAGATAGCTTCACACACACACACAGCCATTGATGCCAAAGTCCCTGGAGGCTTGGTGAGTAGCGGCGCCCATTTTCGGCTGCTTTGCCAGCAACAATCCCTTTGGGACAGAGAGGATGTGGTCCTGGGATGCCATGCTCTGGGTGTGAGGGCATTGCTGCAGTGGCCTCCATGGGGAGCTGCCCTGGGAGACGACTGGGAAACTGGTTTGCAATGCAGCAGCCAGACTAGGGGCTGGGATCCCTCTCTTTATTCCTGGCCTTTCTCTCCCACCTTTCCTTCCTTCCACCACGTGGTTTTTTTAGAGGGGGGAGGGGCTTGTCCACCTCCTCGTCCAGCTTTGGAAAACCATTTGCACATGGACTTCCAGGGTGGCGCCATCGGCAATGGCGGACTCCCTCTGAACCGGAGGGACCAGCTCCGCGCGAAACGGGTCTTTTCCGCTGCGCGAAGCGGGGACCCTTTTAGAAATCACAGGCGGATGAAGCCTGTGACCGTGGGACTCGGCGGGCACCCTTAACGCCCCCCCAACCCGCAAAGGAACCCACTAACAGGCTCCGAAGCGAAGATGGGGAAGTGGCGCAGTGCTGTGAGTCAATTGCTTTTTCCGTGGAGCGAAGCCGCATAGCCGTTGCCGGAGAGCGCTGCCTTTTTCCTGGGACAATTTGCCATCTAAAATAATCACCCGTGAGTACTTAAACATTGGGCAATTGGACTTCAAATAAGAACTGGCGATTAGAAAGGAATTGGACTTAGAAATTTACCTTAATTTGGTACTGAAACGGGAAGGTCTAAACAGGAAGTCAGCCTTCCGTTTCCTTGTAGTCAGAAGAAAGCAAAGACAACGTAAACTAGAGCTTAGAAAATCACTTTCAAAGGATTGGTTTTCACCATTTAAAATCGTTGAACCCCCCTTTGGTAGCAGGAGAAGAAGGGGGATCTTTTTTGGACTGTTTAAACCTGCAGAAGTGAGTTTAAAGTAAAGTAACTTTCCACCGTCCTGATCCTGGAGCGGGGTGTCAGAATTGACGCTTGAAGCTCATTGACCAGAGACAAATGTTTTTGACAGATAGTTAAAAGAAGAGTAACATTGTGATTCCACTGTTTCCTTTCGCATTTTAAAGGAACAAATATTGACAAAATATCTTAAAAAAAAGAAACTTTGTTGCTATTGTCCTTAAAAGAAAGAACAACCAGAAGTTTTCCCCCTAGAGGGGGACTGTGAAACTGTAACTAATTCTAGGGAGCTTGCAGCTGCCACAGATTACAACCGTGGGAAAGGACTTGTGACCTTGTAGGACAATGTTCTCAGAAGCACTGTTGGGTGCTTTCTGTAAAATAAATGCCCTATTGGATCAGTTAAGCCAGAAGACGGATTTGATGACTAATGCGGCTAGAACATTTGAACAGGTAGTGGGAAACTATATGGAGCCCACCCAGGAACTTAAACAGGAGTGTGCCATGACAGAACAGTTGAGAGAAGAGGATGTTGCTGAATCTTGGGCGCCAGAAAGGGAGGAACTTTTGGCCCTGCAGGAAAATGAGCCTTTGGATCTGATAAATGAACTTGGAAAACCATATTTGGAAAGATAAAGTTTGGATTGATTTGGAAATGGGGGGTTGGACTGACCCCCCCTATGCAGAGATGTTTGGACTTTCCGAGTCTGGCAATGGGCCGTCAGATGTTTGGAGCTGTGGGGCTCTCAATTTTGGAGGGAATTTGAAACATGTCTTAAAATACCACATGGAGTCTAATCTGGACTATGGGAAAGGGGCTGATTTGTTGAAAAGGGTCAAAAACACTACCAAGCTGGAGTTCCCACGAGTGAAAGGAAAATATGAAGAAGAGCTGCGGAAGGGACATGGAAGAGACTTGAAGGCCTCGGATATAAGATCACCAGGTTAATGTGCCAGACTAATGGGATAAAAACGACTGACAAACCCGGGACCAGGAGGAAGGGACGCTGGAAGAAGATTGGATTGTTCTTATTTCTTTTTTCTATCATTAGGAATGTTTTATAAAATTGATGAATGTTAGAAAAATGTTGAAATGAAATTATTTGGCTCTTGTAAAAATGTTTAAAGAATTAGGTAAAAAGGTAATGGTTATGAGAAGTTGGTAAAAATAAGATTTAAGTCTTAAGCTTTAAGGTTTTTTATAAGATAAGATGAAAATAGAGTAAGGCAATGTAATGACAGAATACTATGAATTATGGAAAGGATTTGCTGTGGCAACTATTAATCAAGATACAAGAAAAGGGAGGAGGAGGAGGTCATAGAAAGAAGGTAATGAAAGTGGAGAATTTGAAAATGATGGTTTTATTTTTTTCTTTTTCTTTTTCTGTTTTGTCTTTTTTTCCTTGTAATTTTTTTTAAAAAACTCTTTTTCAATAAATATAATTTTTTTAAAAAAAGGAAAACCATTTGCACATGTTTCCTCTGTTGTGCAATGAGGCTGAGCAATGTCACACAGAGTTAAAGTCCCAGGGACTCCTTTGTTTAAAGAAGGGAGATTTTTTTCTGAAAGGGGGGGGCGGAGGGCCAAATGAGTTTGGGATCCTCTGATCTCCAGGAAGGAGAGCGTGGCAGACCTGGCCCCTCCCTGATCAGGCCCCCCAGGCATCCTCCCCTGCTGCAGCCCTGGGACCCCCCCCCCGTCTCCCCACTGCACCCTCTGGGGGGAGAGAGAGGAGACTCACCAGATCCCAGGAGGGGACAGCGAGGCAGCCCTTGCAGGAGAGACCCCAAAGCAGGAAAGGACTGGGGAGGGAGGGGCCTTGGCTCTGGAGGACCTGGCCCCCCTTGCTTCCTGGCCTCTCTAGGAAGGCAGCTCACTTCCCTTTAACCCTTGCCAAGCCGAGTCCCTCCAGCTCAGCCCTCTCTCGCTTGGCAGAACCTCAGATTCTTATTATTTTTTATGGATTTAGGGGGCAGCTGCCCCCCTGGCTACGGCAATGCCCAAATATCCTTTTGGGGGTGACTCTTGGTTGGACTCTGAGCATCTCCCTCCCTTGTCCAGAAACCAGAGGAAGAGCTTGCAGGGAAAAGGGCTTCGCAGGAGGCAAGGAAGCTCCTCCTAGAATTCAGGAGTGGAGAGATAGGAGGGGATCCCAGGGTCATCTAGTCCAACCCCCAGCAATGCAGGAATCTCAGCTAAAGCATCCATGGCAGATGGCCGTCCGATCTCTGCTTAGAAACCTCCAAGGAAGGAGAGTCCACCACCTCCCAAGGGAGACCTTTGGGTGGAGCCAGGTGGGCCCAGGTCCAGGTGAGGGAGGGTCGCCATGGTGACAAGGACCACAGACTTGCAGGCGGCCATTTTGGGTTAGCAGTGAGGCGAGTGGAGGAGAGAGCAGTTGGTGGCAGTTGATGGAGGACAAGGCGAGGCAATCAGTGGATTCTTATTTTCTCAGTTTCTTATTTCGCTCCTTATTTCATTTATTATTTATTTATTTATTTTTTCTTCTGGAAGATGTGCCACAGGCTTTCATCATCCAGCAATGGTGAGTATTGGAGGAAACAAGAGCCAGAAGTTCTCTTGCTCCGGGTGATACTGAGCTGCCAGGCAGCTGCCCTGAGAGGCCTCCACACCCTTCAGGTGTCCAAACACCGGACAGCGGAGGCCGTTCTGGGGAGGCACCCCCATGGGGAGGTGGGGGAGGGAGGGGCTTTGGAGAAGGGGTTGTCCGTCTGCCGGAGAGGAGGACCCTACTGGCCTAGGTTCACGTATCCTGTTTGAAAGGGAAATCATCTTAGGGACTTCCTGTGAAATTCTGGGTCAGGAATGCGGTTCCTACAATGGAGGCATGTGCAACACTACTACACTTTGGAACTGTAGCAGGCTCCAATTTGGACTTTATGAACACATGTGGAACAGAAAGTAGCAGACATTTGGTCTTTATGAATGAACTGATTTATTGCACTTTATGTGTTGTTTATGTGCAAGATAAACATTTGATATTGTGATAAGAATATATAGAAGAGTATTGTTTATGTGAATCCACAGCCGGTTACGTCTTGTGTTTGTCGAATGTATTTCATGTAACGCAAGGTTTGATGTTGTTTTGCAAATTCCTAGAATGGAATCTTGGAAGTTGGACGTCCCTTCTATAATGCATAGGTAAAGGTAAAGGGACCCCTGACCATTAGGTCCAGTCATGGCCGACTCTGGGGTTGCGGTGCTCATCTTGCTTTGTTGGCCGAGGGAGCCGGCGTACAGCTTCCGGGTCATGTGGCCAGCATGACTAAGCCGCTTCTGGCGAACCAGAGCAGCGCACGGAAACGGAAGGCGAAGGGGTAGATTTAAGAGACCAAATTCCCAAGGGCATAAAACCTCTTCAGTCAGTTTAAAATCCACTTTCCCCGTTTGATGTCCTAAGACATATATCTCATTCAGCCCACATTTTACCAGCTTCCTCACATAAATCTCACAGAGGACTTTGTCAAAAGCCTCACTGAAATCAAGATGCACAATTTCCACAGCAGTCCCCTGATCAACAAAGTTTGTAACTCCATCCAAAAAAAGAAAAGGAGAGATTTCTCTGGCTTGACTTGTTTTTGAGAAAGCCATGCTTTCATCCTGTATGTTGTAAAATCTTCAGATGAAGGGTGAATAAATTTTAAAAATAATAAATGAGGATATTGACATGTGCAAAGGAAGGAGATTTATGTATTTATTTAGTCTGTAAACCACACGACCCAGTGGTGCCAACTTGAATAAAATATTGGTGGGGGGCCAGTTAAGGCCCGCCTTGCACAATCAATCACATGCTGCATGCACACAATTAGAATGGCAGTGCCTATAATGGCAGCGACTTTTTAAAAAAGTAATACTTTGAGCCCGTAGCTCCCCTTGCCCCGGAGAACACTTCTAGCATTTCACATCCTCTACCTGTGGCATTGTTCAGCAGTGGGGACCTCTTCACACCGGATGTCCATTTGGTATGGCCCTTTCCAAGTTTGTCTTTCATTTGTTCTCCTATGTGTGTTGCCAGTAGAAGCCACAATTCTGTGGGTACTCTAGGTGGCGCAGAA